CTTGTGTAAAACCTTTTTTTAAGTACAGCATCATACATGGCATTAATATATTTTTTACGTAATAATATGTTAAGCTGTTGTTGTATTTCTGAAACAAGAATTTTAACATTTCTCTTTGAGATCTTGTTGAAGAGGATTGTTGATCTTTTCCCATGGTTGGAGAACAGTTTTCCTTACACACGGTAGTCAGAATTGGAAAAGCAAAGATGCTAAAGTCGGATGAGACTGTTCCAGGAAGAGTGTGTAGTCGTCTTCCACTGTAAGAGAAGTGTTCATATGCTGGAGTCCATCATGGAGTCTAGAGAAGTTTGCAGTTTTGTTTCCTCAGCTTAACAATCAACAATCTGTGTCTTTATGAGAGCAGCACGGGAAGAAAAACATGTTTTGGAACATTGAGTTCAGAGAAACATGAGGGGGGGTGACCAGTGGTGATAGGTAATCTGTTATTGTGGTTTGGAAATGAAGCCATGTCTACATAACCTCTTGCGATAAAGGAGTTCAGACAAATTCTGAGCTTTCTGCTTCACTGCTCAGTAACAGAAGGTGCTTCTCGAGTTTTCTCTATGCATTTCTACTGCATTTGTGCTGAAGTGTGTTGTTGTGTGCGCAGCAAGAGTGAAAGATGGAGACAGAGCAAGTGAAGCAGAGAAGGGGAGGGTGGATGAAAAGAGACACTGACTCATGTTATAGAGATAGAAAGTATGTAACATCAGCTCTTGTGAGTTTTAGACGCATCTATTTAAGTTGTGCCACATTAACAATGCATAAGCTTTTGGGTCATATCTGCAAAATTGCATTGTAGCGTGAAATCTGGTTGGCAAGGCCTCAGCATCATCCGTACCTTGCACAAGGACACAGCAGGGTAAAAGTTTAACAGAGGACAAGCAGTATTAAGGAGCAGAGGGTGAGGGAGTAATAAGATCAGTAACAGTAAGCAGGCTGTCTTTAAGTCTGTGAGAAAACCTTACCAAATGTCTTAAATGGATTACCTACAGTTAAATATAGACTTTCAGCTTTTATTGCACTCTCACTGCTCCCATATTTAATTTTTATAGACCTTATTTGAATGTGTGCCACCAGCCTACAAATTTAATTAGCTTGCTCTGCCTGCATTAGTCTCTTGATTGGATGTAATGTCAGCATTACTTGTATTATGCAATACAACGCGAAACCTTGTTTCTGCTTGTTAGTAGTGAAATGTAAAGACATGGATGGTAGATACAGTATAAGCTAAAGAGCAGGGAACAGACATTTCAGGATTTTTTTCACATCACATTTCTTTGGCAACACAAGGGAATCCTGCTGTGGGAATTAAAGTTTGATGACTCTTAGTGTGTAAAACACAAATATACCAGTAACTCCCATGTATCTGAATAATGTGTCAGGAAAAATCCTGTTGTCAGATCTGATAAAGAATAACTTAGGACAGTTCTGATCATGTCTGCAGATCATATTATGGCAGTTTGCGTTACCGTGAAGTGTAGTTTTAGTCCATTTGATGTTTTCGTGTCTGGGTGTTTTTGAGGTGTGTATGCATTCCATGAATGCAGTTATAAAACACTGCTTGCATGTTGAATGTTTTTTTTGTACATGCCGTAAGCTGTAAGTTCATGTGTGTGTGCGTCTTGATTGATCGAGCTGGCTGCATTTTGCTCTAGACGATCTGTCAAGTAGAGGGTTGACAGCAGAGGGAGGCTTGTTTTTCACAGCCATCCATCAGTCCTGTAATTGTCTATAACGGTAGCTAACTTTAATCTGCTCTGATGCACAGCTCTAGTTCAATCAGACAGAGCCTAAGTTGCTACTATCAGAGTGTCTGTGGCCCTTTTTTCCATTTTACTATCTATGCTTAATTTTTGCTTTTTTTGCTTTTTGTTCTTGAATATCACCTTTTCTTTTGCTGCACTTGTTTATAGCACTTTTTGACTGGTTACAGCTTCACCCAGTGAATACACCCTCCACTTAACAACATAAACAAAGAAGGTCAGCAGCCATACTGCTGTTGGGTTTCATCGCTGTTAGTCTGAGGGTCTATTTGTGGTTAGATAGGCCGAGCCTCAGTCAGATAAGCGTCTGTGAGAGAACAAGAGAGCAAAACAATGGAGGGGGAAATTAAGAAAAGCAGCGCAGAGACAGAGAAAGAATGTAAACCAGGTTTTCCTAATGTGAGAGGTCAATAAAGGTTTGCAAGGATGTAGAAATGGATGTTTACTTGTCTGCCACATGCCTCAACTGTATCTCTCCATTTTTCCTCGAGGAACAAACAGGTTCTGCTAAATCAGTTTGAAGCAAAGAAAAGGCTGCCAAAGAAAACAGTCAGCCCTGCCTCCTTCCATCCCTTATTCTTATATCCTTCTTTCTTGAGAGCTGTTGTTTTCATTCATTTGTGCAACAGTTGAAAACAGCAGGTGTTCCAGCCCTTGTTAGGCAATTCACTATTTTACATGTGTCCTCAAAGGGCCTTGGTTTATTTAGATTGTAGTTTGAGATGTTCAGGGTCAGTTACACACACACACACACACACTATACAGTTTGAGTCAATTACAACATATCCATTGAAGGTCGTTGTTAAAAAAGTAGCATTAAAACGACTATATTGTTGGATTCTATTGGATGGATCATTAGCTGTGATTAAAAAAATAAAGTTGTTTCCTCTATCTCAGTAATGCCTTGTGGGATTTTTCACATTCGGCCCAATCGTTCACTTGCACTCAAGGATAAACTGATTAGATTTTGGTGGTCAAAGGTCAAAGTGACTTTGACCCACGAAACACGCTTTGGCCACAATTCAAGAGTTTATATGCTTATAATGATCAAGTTCCACACAAATGTCTAAAGGTCAAATTAACTGAGACATCATAATGTTCCGCAACAACAATTTTGTGGCCGTAACTTGACACCATAACTAGAGATGTTCCAATACCATTTTTCCCTTCCTGTGACCTGTTACAATACCTGGAATTTGCTCATGTGCATCAGCTGATACCGAGTAGTTAATAAGTAAAAAACAACACATACAAATAAATCTACTATTCTAGAAATCAATTCTCCCCTCGCTGCAGTTTTTTCTGGGTCAAACAAATGCACTTTAAAGAAGTGGTATCAAATTGGTTCATACATTTGTGTATTGCTGGAATTTTTGGCATTTTGGATGTTGGTATTGGAACATCTCAAACATGAACTAAGGCGCAGTAGGAGACATACTGACATAGTGGGGTGAAGCATTTCAAAATTTCCAGCTTCTCTGAAGCCATTGACATGGCTAAAACTTTGTTTTCTTTAAAAATCAGCTTTATTGGTCAAGCATGTGAACACAGGGAACCAATACCGAAAATGAAAAACAGCATGAGGGCAAAATTTAGATAATTCACTAGAATCCTATTAAACAAAAAATACACTAAAAGCCTGTTTTCAAATATTATGAGTCTGGACAAACATGGACATAAACTGCAACGTGATTGGTTGGTAGAAGTGTAAAACTGTGAGCCGGTACATTTACTCTTTTGCCCCATATGAATTTTTCCTTTGTCATTCACATGCCTACCAGCAATATAATTACTGTTTCTAAATGTACTAAGTGTCTTGTACGCCTGCTCGCTCTTGTGGTTGTGTTGCTTAAAGTGTACTCAAAGTAGTCACTATAAGCTGTCTATTCTTACGCACTGACCTTGAAGATTGTGAAAGTGTGAGTTGGGGGCCAGGAATAGGGGAACTCGTCACCCTGCCTATGTAGGACAGGAGTTGTTTGCACTTGATGCTGTCAAAACACATTGTGTGTGACACCAGCCAGGACAGATGGGACTAACAAATTAAGTGATTCTATTTTTGTGTCCATGTCTCAAACAGGTTGTGGCGGCATCTGAAACCGTGTGTTACGATTTGGAATTCAGATATATTGCAGAATAAGAACAAGTATATACTGTATATTTGTTTTGTTTTTTCAGAACAAATATATGTTCTTACATACCTAGAAAACCAGTAAGGGCCTCAGATTAGCATAGCAACCCCCAAAAAAGGGATTACAAATGTTCTTACTATGGATTTAAGTTTATTAATCAATATAATAGTTATTAGTACAAATATTATAATATAATATGTAATATATAATATATAAATATTAAATTTTTACTCCGATTTTTCTAACCCTTAGACCGAAACCTAAAGGCTCATACGAACATCACTGTACAATAAATGGAGGGAAAAGGTGAAGAAAACATTAAATTTCAGTAGGTTAGTGGGACAAAGTGGACGACAATGGAACTGGGTCAGCCATGTGTCTCCTTATCCTCAGCTAGCCTCTTCTACACCCCTCTTCTACACACGCACATTGTTAAGACTTTTAGCATGAAACTCTTTTCATCATACATGCACAGCCAGACACACACACATACACACACACACACACCCTAACACACGCTAACCGTCTTCCAGCCTACTGTTAGGAGGTTTCTTACCTCAGTGTCCACGCAGTGCTGAGACAGCTGCTATTATTATCTGTGACACGCACATATATACACATGCATCCGCGCACACACATGTATGCATGTACTCATGCATGCTGACATGCACAGGCACACACACACATACTCCATGTCACATTCCACATTAGCACTGTAATGTTGCCCTATTACAAAGCCCCTCACCCATCAAGAGGCCTTCAAAACAACTGCTGAATGGTCACGCTACCAGGTTGAAGCCTCCATGGGTGGCCCCAACATGCTCCAACATGGGGCCCTTCGCCTCTGCAACCAAAGAGTGGAAAATTTAATGGACGCACCAGACTGTCATGGCATTCTGTACACTATTGTGTAAAAGCACATTCACTTAAATATAACCATGTAAACTAATGTCTCAATAGTTCTCTATTTAGCTAATAAAAGACTAAATTAGAAGAGGGATTTAATAATGAATTTAGCCTTTAACCATGTGATAAAACAGTTCGTTAGGGAAATACAGTTTGTGGTAGGTGTATTGCTCCGTCCCACCGAGTTGTGATTAGAGACGGGTTTGACATGAGGTCGACAAAAAATGTGAGCAATTAATTAATTTTATTTTCTCAACCATCTTTTATTGTGGTTATGCTAACTTATTGGTTAGTGTAATTTAATCAGCACCACCATTTTTTACTGCAGAGCACCTTTACCTCAATAATAGATTCAACCAGCCCTTAGTCTAAATATATTTTACAGAACACAAACACTACAGAGAACAAAAAAAGCTGTAATGAAGTACCTGATTTTGCTTTAGTCAGTGTAATCAACGTAGAAACAAATCAAATCACATTGTTATGGAAACATGGAAGTCAGATTATCAGATGGTGGATGATGATGTCCTTGCATCCTTTCTTAATCATCAGAACCAAATAAACAACTGGTGACTGCCTCTTTATTTGTAGTATTTAACATTAGTGTGCCAAGATAAGTTGTGTAAAGTCTTACTGAGACCTAACAGATCTTTAATACACACAAATATGATGAATAAATCTGGCTCCTGTGATAATGACAAACTTTTGCTTCCCAATGTTAATCCTAAATTAAATTTGCAGGGTCACTTTAACCTTTAATAGAAATGAAAGATGTTTTATGCTTCTCTGTGTATTTGCTTCGCTTATGTTCTCATAGTGTGTCTTTAGTTTAATGTTAAAGACTGGTTTCATGGGGAACCTTCTGCTCTGGATTTGATGCAACGACTTAGTTGTGTCAGGACTTGAGAACTCACAAGATACGTTGCCTGTCCTGTTTGTTGTGACTTCACTTGTGATGTCATGACACAAGATTGACCTGAGATGCAAAAAGCCAAAGTGGTGAGATCCTCCCTCTGAACACCTGTTGAGGAAAAAGTGATCCTTTCTCAACACGGACCAAGAACCTTTGGTCTTTCTTTTCTCTCTGTGTCATGTAGGTTTGAAATACTGGAGCAAACGTTAAATCAGAAATCAATTTCTAAGCAGCCTACATGCTGCGCTCCCAGTCATGGCGCCAACAAGCCCATGAGAGCAGCACACACGTAACCCTGCAACCCTTTAATCCATACACCCCAGCTCAGTCTTACATACGAGATATACTGTTCCCCTCTCTTGTGTGTGTATGCCGATTGCGGGCATATGTGAGTGTGTATATGTGCTCATACAGTCGCATAGAACAGTGTGTGTGCATGTGTGTTGAGGCCACATCTCTCTTCCATTCATAGCAGGGTTTGACGGCAGTCTTATGTTTCACTCTGCAGGGAACACACACACACACACAAACATACATGCAGACACACAGACACACACACACACACACACATCCATCTTCATTGGCAAGTCAGTCATCCATTTCAGCTTCAACTTTGGCCCACATCACTGTTAAGTCTGTATTCATGTATGTATGAATACCAGAGAGGGAGAGAAGCAGGAGACCAAGGAAGAGAAAGACAACCAGTTGGGGGGCCATTTGGATTTCCATAACATGCCATGCAGCGAGTTCATTGAGTTCACATGTGTGAACTCAGTTTGCCTGCAGAAAGGCAAGTTGGCCGGATAGCTCTTGTCCTGCTGCATGATGTAACCCTACATGCAGCAGGACAAGGCATGTTCTCTGTAGTGAAGTGATTTGTATTTCTCAGGGAAAAGGACATCTTTACTGTTCAGACCTGTCCATACAACCTTTAGGCTCATGGAAGCTGACTTTAGAGAGAGTATGACCCCTTGAGCAGGAGGGTCTCGTTTGCATTGTCACTTTGTCTTTGCTCCCTTACCCTCGATGCTTCTATTTGAAAGCACCCTCTAACCTGTTTGTCTTTCCATCACAGTCATTTTATAAGAAGCATCAAGCTGTATTAACGTTATGAAGCATAAATTGAGAGTTTTAAATCACTTCATTTATTTTTTTTCCTTATCCCTGAATGAGGTTGTTATCTGACAGTAATAAAGTAATGTTTGAATGTTGAGGATACAGGAACAACCTTATGTGTTATGTGCAAACACATGGAAATAAATTACATCTCATTGTTAATAACTGAGCTGAGACAAGTTTGTCCTTCCACTCTCTGGACTGATCAATGATCCAGTATTACAAGAAATTCAGATGCAAAGCCTAATATTTAAAATGGTTGATGTCAATACACATATCAATATGTACTCTCCCAGGAACACTGCATCACATCAACTGTATCACTGCCAGTCCTTGATATGTCTTGTTGCAGGATAATTTAACGGGAATGTTGGCACTCTGAAGGAATTTGAAGACTCAGACGCCTGCCAAAACTCCACTTGATTTAATTACTCAGTAGTAAACTTTACCTCAGTCCTGGCAGACTGAATTTACAGGTTGATTTATGGTTGGACCACACACACACACACACACACACACACACACACACACACACACACACACACACACACTCACTCACACACAAGGTGCTCACGTTAACTTTCTAGTGTCTCTCTCCTTCTCTTTCACTTGTGATCAGATGGGACTTGGCTCAGAAAGCCAGCAGAGGAAAAGAAAGGCTCCAGCACCTCCTCCCACCCCAGCTTCGATCTCTGATGACACTTCAGACTCTGCTGCTCCCACTCCTGACATTTACACCACTGAAACACCTACCCCAGCCTTCCGCACCAAGGTGGCAGAGTCCGCTCCAGTGTCTTCTACCACTGTGATAGTGCACACAATAAAACCAGTCCCCTTGAAAACAGTAGCACAACCGGCCATCCCCACCACCAGTTCCCCAACCCCAAGTAGCAGCACCACTGACAGCCTGGCCACACAAGATTCCAGCTCTGAACTCAGCCACAGTCTTGATGACTCAGACGCTGACCTGGACCAGGCCGGTTCCAGTTGCAGCACACTCACCAGCAGCACAGCGAGCGGGTCTGTGCGAATGCAGCCTGCAAAGAAAAGCCCCAGCAGCAGGATGGAGGAATCAGAGAGGTCGAGTAGCATGGCTGTCAAATCCAATCAAGAGGGGGCCTCAGTCAGCAGCTCCAGGTCGGAGACCGAGTCGGCTCACAACCTGAAACTGGATGAAGTCGAGAGCAACAGACACAGTGCAATGGGTAAATAACACAGAAACATTTTTGACTTTAAAAGATAATCCTTTATCAGTCCCACAATGTGGAAATGTATCAAAACATTTATTAGCAGGAGCCGTGTAAACATCTGAGGGAGGAACAGACCCTGAGCGTGACCCACTAGATGCTTGAAACGTATCTGTAATACAAGTGTTTTCCTCTGTTATTAATGCTGCAACCTATTTTCAAATCAAAGCTGGCGCCACAAACACACATGTGGACTAAAAATTTGGATTATTAACAGCAGATTAGAGACAGGAACAAAACCTGATGACTAAAGGTGATTATAATGATGCAGCAAACAGCACCACAGGCGATGAACTTGCAATGACTTCCACTGTATATCGTTATATCATCTTTTGTTTTAATACCTTCCATCAGTTTCAAGCCAGCTGACGTATCACATTTCACACGAGAGCACACCGAACATTTATATTAATTAATATAAACATTTATATTCATCAAAGAAAATGAACTTGTCTGTTGATCACTGAACTTGTGACAGTGATGGTATAATACTCAGTATGTTAAAGAAGGGAGTTTTCCTTTTGTTTCCTTCCTGTTAAAAAGTGACTGCCCTGGAGAACTGAGCTTTCACCGCACCAACTTCTGAAACTGAAGCTGTCAAAATTGACTTGGTGTGTGTGTGTGTGTGTGTGTGTGTGTGTGTGTGTGT